TGCAAATGAGCCTCATTGCAAAAACAGTCCAATTTACTCAGACCAGCACTAACAGCCACACACAGTTACAGGCACATTATTAGCATCTTCAGAGAGTTGGAGGTAACTGAAGCACATTTATAACGGGTGTCACGGCCGGCACTGACCCAGATCAGTTCCTCTGTCATGCTTAAAGGTCCAGTGTGTAGGATTTAAAGGGATATATTGGCAGAGACGGACTTTAAGTATGTTTTCTGTGGTGTTAAAACACCTGAAAATAAGAAACGTGGTGTTGTAGTCAGAAGTTAATCTATCAAGACAGATTCTACAATTTACATTGTAGAATCTGTCGGCAGCCCTGTGTGAAAGACGACTAGAGAGGGGGGAGGGCGGGGCTTTGAGTTTGAATGATGCTGCGCTTTAGCTAATCACAATGGAGGGGGCGTGGCCGAGACGTGCAGGTGTCCCCAGGAAATGTGTTTCTACAGAAACAGCAAGCTCCGCGTCCATAGCAACCGCTCCACCCAAAACACCGTCTCGTCAACGCGTGAATTTTTTTTTTTTTTCCAGTGGATGTCTGAGTTACAACATGATTGAGCTAACTGGAGTAGTTTCATGTTGTATCCGACAACGGGAGGCTTTTAACAGATGACGTCCTGATGTTAGCTTTGCTGCTGCTGTTAGCTGTCCCTGTCAGCTGATGCTTTCTAGACATCGTGATTTCCCATAACTGAATAAATACCACACATAGCAACACAAAACTGCTTTGCTAGCTCAATCATGTTGTAACTAAGATATCCGCTGGAAAAAATATTTTACTCATGGACCGTTTATTGAGTTATTACCTTATTTTTATACAGTCTATGGTTATTACAGACACCGCTAATGGCTAACGTTAACAGCTAACGGTTAGCCCAGCTAATCTACGATAACCATGTTATTAATTACAAAACGTGCACACAGAAATAGTAACGTTTGTTCAATCATTGTGTTTATAGACTTTACAAACATCAGATTAGTCTACACGGTGATATAGTGACGTGAAAAATGTGATATATAGCTAAACTCTGCTGGTTTTCTACCCGAAGTATTTGTAAACAACACGGCAATTCCCTGGGGGCACCGCCGGAAGTGAAGGGTGTGAGTGATCGCCGAGGCCCCTGCACTTCCGTTAGTCGAAAAACTCCAGGCTGTGCCTCCAGAGGTAAAGGAAGAAAAAAAAAGTGTTTTTTTTTTTACCGATGGATTTCCAGATTGGTCAAAAGTAGAATGAGTCGTTTGGATGTTACGCACATGGCGGAAGTTTCCCTTGTTGGCGATCTCCAAGAAAGCCCTTTCTGACTGGAATCCATTCATATTCACCCAAACCACTACCCTTAATCAACAGATCCCTTTCTGGTAGAGAGTTCTTGAGGAAAAGTACTCCCAGCTGTCCATGTTTCTACAGTAGCCCAGAACAGACAAACCAAGAATTGGCTCTAAATAGGGCCATTTGCATTTTAACATTTTCATGTTGGTCCCTGTAGTTAGCAGCTACGAGTGTCCGAAAAACTGATTTTTATCAATGTGAATCTGTTTGTAGGGTGTGGTGGTTAGCACTGTCGCCTCACAGCAAGAGGGTTCCTGGTTTGATCCCGGGTGCGGGAGCTCTTCTGTGCGGAGTTGGCATGTTCTCGCTGGGGTACTCCGGCTTCCTCCCACAGTCCAAAGACATGCAGGTTAATTGGTGACTCTAAATTGTCCATAGCTGTGAATATAAGTATGTGTCAGCCCTGTGATAGTCTGGTGACCTGTCCAGGGTGTACCCTACCTCTCGCCCAATGTCCAGCCCCCCCATGATCCTCAAGAGGATAAGCGGTTAGAAAATGGATGGATGGATGAATCTGTTTGTTTGTTACGTACAAAACGAGGCCTGAAAGTAGACTTGATGGGAGAATCTTTGACCCATGCTTCCGAACATTTTGGAGACTGGAAACTGGCGACCGTGATGGTGAGGTGGAAGCCTGGTTGTAGAAAATGTCAGCATTTTTTTGGCTTTTGTCTGTGCATGTATTATTAATATGGATCCTACGCACTGTTTTATAAATGAGACTCCTGGTTTGTTTGTTTTAGAGAGGCTGTGGATAATTCGGCTCCAGGTAAAAACCTCCTGAATGTCTGGATCTTAAGTTATCAGGGAAAAAGGCGGGCACACATTCGAGGTGCTGGTCTCGTGGCCTGTCTTTGATGTGCCAAACAGTGTCAGAGAAACACTGATTTTTAATGTGAAACTGCTTTATTCAATGTTTTTACCGGTATTAATCACCTGGTTGGGACGGCTGTGGCTCAGGAGGTAGAGAACGCTGTCCACTAATCGGACAATTGGCGGTTCAATCCTCAGCTCCCCCAGTCTGCATGTTGAAGTATCCTTGGGCAACATACTGAACTGCAAATTGCTCCTGATGGCTGTTCCATTGGAGTGTGAGTGTGTGTGAATGGTTACTGAGTAGCAGGTGGCACCATGTACGGTAGCCTCGGCCAACAGTATGTGAATGTGTGTGTAAATGGGTGAATGTGATTCATAGTGTAAAAGTGCCATAAATTGATAATGTATTGTTACACCAGTAATACTTAGACATACTGTATGATTGTGGCCACTTTACATTCTAATTATAATACATATGTTGTCCTTGGCAGTAATACGCTTCTGTCATTGACCCTTCGCTAAGCCCCGCCCCTTTGTAACGGTCCGACAAGCTGTCAAAAGCCGCTTTTACACTGCCAGATTTTCCGCAAATGTTGGGCTGTTTTGGCAAGCTGCGAGCGTTTAGACACACAGAGCCGGACTGGTGAGTTGATCCGTGGTGCCCAATTTTCCGCCTCGTAGGGTAGTCATATTGGCGGAACCCTTGTAGTTTAAACAGACCGAGGCAGCCTTCAGCCACAGGAGGGGCTGTTGAAGACTTGTGGGAGGAGCTGTTGATGACGCCGCACGTGCGACCCACTGGCGGTGGATAAACAGGAAACAGCTGATAGCAGGAATGAGCGAGCAGCTAGTAGCAAGAGGGAAACGCAAACCTGACAGACACTGTAAAGATGAGCAACTGGGGAGACAAGGAATTGCGCGCCCTCCTTGTCCTCGCAAACGAAGAGACGGTGAAGAACGGGCCAGCTTACGAGAGAATTGCCGAAGGACTGACTAGCTACGGTTTCCCTCCCATGTCACTGTTTACGTCACACGCTGAGCTACACGTTTTGTTACTTGCTCACGCCCCCCATTGCCCCGAAAAAGGCACATTCTGTATGGACAAAAGTAGGAAGGCGGCATTTTGCTGCACTCCCCGATTTTGTTTTTATACTGCCAATGCTGAAAAAAGACTGATTGGGCTTTCCTGCAAATTTGCACAATTCCTGTTTAAAAAGGGTTAAAATAAGTATGATAGCCCACACTGTAACTAACTGCACTCCCTGAAGACATATTATCATATTTTTGGAGAAATGAAATAGTGATTCCAGAGAGAAGCAGACAGAGGGGTCTACAGTCTGTGTTTGAAGGATATATCCAGGATGTCAAACTGACTCAGCAGCAACAACAGGTTAAAAAGACAAAGATAGTTAGAAGCTAAAGCCGAACTATAGGCTACAGATCACAGTGTAAAAGTGAACCACCACATCACTGCTGATCGCCACACAAGACAATGAATATAAAGGGAAACTTTGCTGATATTGAACCAGCTGTGTGGCATCACAGTGTGTGCAGATGAACTGTGTTTGGCTTCATGCATACATTCAGTAGGCTGTATCTTCAGTAGCTAGCTAGCTAACCCTACACTTTTCAGGGTTTGATTTTGGTTTTGGAACACGGAAGAAACGTGTATCTTTTTCCAACCTCTCCAGGTAACGAGTATCATTAATACACGACGTGCCCCAGTCACAACATTTAGCTCCAAATCCACAAAACCAGCCTGAAAATGAAGGAAATCTGAAACGACCTCAGCTGTGTTGGTGTTGGACCCTGGCCTGAGGCCTTATAGGGATATACACTTTATAATTGCAGCGTTGCATGAAAGCATTTAAGGCCAGTTACATGAATCAATTTATTTTACAGTACATACCATTCTCAAGTTTTTCCTCAGCTGAGAAATGACAAAGTGATCTTGTATTGTTAAGCTGTGTGCCTCACAGGCCGATACACAACCCTCATTTCTTTAAACTGCTTTGTTTTGCTGTGTCTTATTGTCAGTTTCATACTGCACACATCTTGCATACTTGATGTTTTCAAACAGAGTATTCACCCCATGTATTTCCCTTTTGCCTCAGCATGCTCCGCTGTTGTTATTTGCTCAGTTCATTGTAATTCATGCCTTTATTCACACATTTCTGTCCTTCCAAACTGTTAGTTTCATTATATTTAATATGGCCCATTTGTCCTGTTCTTATTTGCTATATTCCTTTTTTTCACAGGGATTATAGATTTAATGATTCCCACAGGGAGTATTAAAGTTTGATCTTATTTTAACTTCTCTTTTGAGATCAGCGGGCGGAACTCAATTCTAAACTTTATATGGTTTTCTGACGCCGCTTTATAGACTCTTTGTCCTCTATCAACCTGGCATGCACACACAGAGACACACAGCGACAGCGAGCCGCTCCTCCTACACGAGGAAGTGAGACCGTGCTCACATTTCCGTGGATTTTCACTGGTTCATTTTCTGGGATGTGAAATTTTTAAAGGTATTAATCCAGCTGTGGAGAGCTACTTAGAAATGCAATGAGCCGCGACTGCACTCATTCAGTCTTTTATTAGTCTATCACAGCAGGAAACGTTAAGTGACAGGTGGACTTGCATGAATAAGGTGTGCGGCCACTAAAAACCAGCCCGAGGAATTTGAGTCACAGATACGTTAAAATTAAAAATACAGTTTTACCCTACACATACATTATTGAAGAATTGTATAAATGGTTTCGACCTCATGGGATCCATAACAGACTGAGCGAAGGCACAGCAACTCTTCATGTGCTCCTGTTTTATGTGTGTGCAGGCGCTGTGTGCAGCTGTGGTGTCGCCTGACGTGCTGCAGACCATGGCGCTGGTGTTTAGTGGGGCAGATGTTATGTGCGCCACCGGGGATCCAACCTCCTCCACCCCGTATCTCTTGGCCCAGCGTGCTGGACAGAAGCTACAGATGGAGTTCCTGCACCAGAACAAACTCTCTGGTAAGAAAATATGGGTGCAGCAGTTCACAGTGACATTGACACCATAAATTGATGCAGAAAAGGCACAAATTGGTGCTTATAATTTCACCATAAAGCAGGAAATTAAGGGTCCAATGCTGAAAATTGGCTGGCAGAGGACCCCCATGACACCAATTTCGTGTTGAAACCAAACCTATGCTGTTGATAACTCTGTGAGTCGTCTTAAAACTCTCTCTTCAGCTGACTTATATCAAAATAACAATGTCTTAAATGTGTGCTTGATGGCTACATGAATGATATAAAAGACTGAGAGTTAGCGTCCTCGACTATCTTAGTTTATTACTTTGGCTTAGTTTAGCGTTTAATATTTAAGGTAAATTTCCTCAAACCAAATGAAGAGCAGTTAGCTTAAACTCCGATGAAGTGGCATTTGGTTCCATAGGTGAATTACTGAAAGGGCCTTCAGGGCATAGGCCCAGGGGCCAAAAGTCAGGGCCCCCCTCGCCTTCACCTGCAAAATGTCACTCCAACTAACATGTACGGACCAAGAAGAGACTAGGAATGATGGCAAAGACACAAAATGAGACATAAAATGACCAAAAGGACAAAAAATTACTTTCAAAGACACACAAAACAACCAAAACAGGACATAAAGAGACCTCAATAAGACACAAGATGGCCTCAGACGGATACAAAATTACTGCGAAGACACACAAAATGACCTTGAAGAGACACAAAATGATCCTAAAGGGACAAAAAATAAATACAGCGAGACACAAATTGATGAAAAAAGACATGAAGAGACTTCAAAGAGACACAGAACAACTATGAAGAGACAGAAAATGACCTCAAAGAAACACAAAATATTGACAGAGACACGAATTAACCAAAAACACACAATATTTACAAAGAGACACAAAATGACTGCAACGAGAAACAGAATGACCTCAAACACAAAATGACTACAAACAGACACAAAAAACCTACAGAGAGACACAAAATTACATCACAGAGACACAAAATGACCTCAAAAAGACAAAATGACCTCCAACAGACACAAAATGACCTCACAGAGAAACAAAATGACCTCACAGAGACACAAAATGATCTCACAGAGACACAAAATGACCTCACAGAGACACAAAATGATCTCACAGAGACACAAAATGACCTCACAGAGACACAAAATGATCTCAGAGACAAAATGACCTCACAGAGACACAAAATGACCTCACAGAGACACAAAATGACCTCACAGAGACACAAAATGATCTCACAGAGACACAAAATGACCTCACAGAGACACAAAATGATCTCAGAGACAAAATGACCTCACAGAGACACAAAATGACCTCACAGAGACACAAAATGACCTCACAGAGACACAAAATGATCTCAGAGACAAAATGACCTCACAGAGACACAAAATGATCTCAGAGACAAAATGACCTCACAGAGACACAAAATGACCTCACAGAGACACAAAATGATCTCACAGAGACACAAAATGACCACACAGAGACACAAAATGATCTCAGAGACAAAATGACCTCACAGAGACACAAAATGACCTCACAGAGACACAAAATGACCTCACAGAGACACAAAATGACCTCACAGAGACACAAAATGACCTCACAGAGACAAAAAATGACCTCAAAGAGACAAAAAGACCTCACAGAGACACAAAATGACCTCACAGAGACACAAAATGACCTCACAGAGACACAAAATGACCTCACAGAGACACAAAATGACCTCACAGAGACACAAAATGACCTCACAGAGACACAAAATGACCTCACAGAGACACAAAATGATCTCAGAGACAAAATGACCTCACAGAGACACAAAATGACCTCACAGAGACACAAAATGACCTCAAAAAGACAAAATGACCTCACAGAGACACAAAATGACCTTAAAGATTCAAAAAAATGACCTCAAAGAGACACAAAATAATGACACAAAAAAGACACAAAATGGCCTAAAAAATCCACACAATATTTCCAAAGAGACACAAAATGACCTCACAGAGACACAAAACAATTAAAAAGAGACACAAAATGACCTCACAGAGACACAAAACAATTAAAAAGAGACACAAAATGACCTCATAGACACCAAAACGACGACAAATAGACAAAAAAAAAAAAAAAAGAGGCAAAACTACCACAAAGTCTGTGTGTCTTGCTCCTGTGTAGCAGAGGTGGTGGGGCCTGCAGCATATCTGTGCCCAGGGGCCCATCGTCTCATAATCTGTCCATGTTTGGTTCCCACACTGTGGATGTTTCAGTCTTGTACGGGGCCTGAAAGTAGTTAACTTCCAACATGCTCCTCTGCTGTGGGAGGAAACTCCCTCACTGCTGTAGGTTGTAAGCTAGTTAGCCAGGCATGCTAATGTCAGTGGTTTATGTTAATGCAGCCAAACACAGTGTTTAATCAACTTCTTACGGTTTGGCTCTCTGGCATCAGAGTGAATACTTTCACACAATTACTGCAAGGGAAAGGGAGAAAGAGCTCCAGCTGGAATGCAGGAAACTTTTCCGTGGCCGGTGCTGAACCCAGGTGAGGTGCCAGACCACAGAAAGCAGCTATGAAACAGAATAACTCACACATTCTCCTGGACAGAGCTGAAAAGGAGCTGACGCGCTCACATAAATCTGTGAGAAGGCCTTTAAACTAGGTGTGCGAGTTGGACATTTACAACCGTCGGCGCCACATATATTCAGCCCATTGTCTTTATACTTTAATGAGCCAATCATGTTTAAAACTCAAACTCACTGCTGCGCCGCCACATTTATAAAAGCACAGTGGGAGGCTTTTTTTTTTCCCTCGGCCATGAATAGGAAATGAAGGCAGAGAAACCCACAAATTTGAAGCTGGCGAGTTTTAAGTATAAAAATTCTCTCTGCTTCTTTATGTCTCTCTCTGCTCCTTTCCCCCAACGCTCCTTTGTATTACCCACCTCACGTTACCGGCATCGGAGGGACGGCGCAGATGTGCTGTGTTGTGCGGCCTGCTCGTGCCGGGTGTGTTTGGTTTGTGCGGCTGCACGCGGGGCTGATGATGAGAATGTGTTAGATTAAAGGAGCGGGAGAGGCCGTCGGCTGGGGCCGGGGGGACACTTTCTCGGGGACAGTATTTTACATAATGTATGCGCTGCATCTGTGCACACTCGCCGGCACTGAGCCTGTTAGGGACTCCTAATTGCTAGCATGGGTCACCTGGTTGCCATGGTTATGGTCATTACTCGGAGGTGTGCTGGAAGACGCACATCGAGAGAGACAGATGGACGCGCGCACACATTCACGCGTGTGGTATTGTCCATCTGAAATATGTCGCATACAGCCAGTCTATATGTGCTCATTATGTGTTGGGGAGCTCCATCATTAACAAACAGACGATATGGAGCTAACCACAGTCTTCCTATAGACACGGGTGTCCAACTAAACTGACCAACTACTGCAGGCAGGAAGCACCGAGGTCAGCGAGGTTAGCGAGAACCCAAATGGCACTCTGACAGATTCATAATGTTGCTGGGCTGCAGTGGAGATCTTGCCTCAGGGTCACTGCAGCACTTTGGGACTACGTGGCAGTGTGGCCACGAGGAAGCTGCTCCTAACAGTGACACATGATGTTCACCCAGGCTCAATACACCACTAAAGATGATGTCTTATTTACATTAAAGATCTTTACATGTTGGAAACTGACAACATACAACCAGATTATGAAACACAGCTCCTAGGAGTTACTTTCATATTTGAGCATTCTGCAGCCCAGTAGTTTTTGTACCGTTCAGTATGCTGAGTATTACGATGGAATATATTGCAGTTTCTCAACTGTGAATTATGTCCCCAAAGGAAAACTTTGTCAATAAGTCCTGAACACAGCAAGATAAGCAAAACCCTTGAATTTGCGGTAAATTTTGACAAAAAATGAGATAGAAATTGCGGCAATTTTATGTGATTTTTTTTTGCAGGAAATTGCGGCTAATGACAAAAGGAGAAAAAATGTTTTTTTTTTTTTTGTTTTTTTTTTTAAATGCCTACCTCCAAAAAAAAAAGTCATGTAATCACTTGCTATAATAATCATACTGAATATTACAAAAACAGCTGCAAATGTTTTTTTATCGTTCTCTTCTTTAGTTTTATTTAATTAGTTTCAAAACATGGACTCCAATAATGCGAAAACTCCTGAGTGAATATTGTAGCTCTCAAACCAGACAGTGTGACTGTAAATCAACATTTTAGCTACATCTCCTGTAAACATAACATTTTAATACATTCAAGACATATTGTCTGCATTTAAACAGTGCAAATACTTACGTGTCAGAGCGTTTCTCCATACTGCAATGCCATTAGCGCATTTGATGACGCGTTTGATGACGTTTCAAATGACGTCACATGTGCAATGACTTCCGGTCAGCCGGAAAAAGTGGAAAACCGCGGATAAATCGCAGGACTTTTGAAAAATTGCAAGACCCCGCAAATGTTGCGGACTTTTCACTGAATTTGCATTAATTATTGCAATCACAAGATAGCGGTTTTCTGGAGGGACTGATATGTACCCACACAATTTTAATGGGTCATAAGTGATGATTGAGAAGGATTAATTTAGTAGTTTATACAGTTTTATTTAGGAACATCTTGCATAGTATACCTTAAAGGGGCAATAAGCGAAATTCATCATTTCTAGATTGAAGGAATTTATAAATTGCTATGTGAAGAACTAGAGGTGTAATTTCATCTGGAGTATAGCATGACCTCACACACCCTCTCTCTGTGTTGATCTCCAGCCCATTGTTTACAAGCCGGTCCGGCTGCGCGTTCATGTACGTCCATGTGAATCGCCGCCTCCTCCTCTCGGAGCCCTTGGCCCTCCCTCCCTATAAAATGCTACAGCCAGTGAGCAATGGCAGCGCATATTTTCGAAGCGAAATGGCAGAGAGCGGAACTAAACATTCACCTGAAGACGACCAGGATCTGACATTACCTCTAAAGAAACAACGGTCGTTGGCG